GAGAATAATGGAGTCTGTTACCAACGTAACATTGAACGATTGCCGCGGATGGATTAAACATTCGGTATCTTTTTTTCCTCGTTGTATTGCTAAGGAAAAGATGTTATAATAACATTCACAAAAATTTAATTTTGGAAAAAATAAAGACATTTTTTGGAAAAATCAGCTGTAGCCTTTTGGAAAAATTATCAACCACATTTGGAAAAATTAGCGTCTGACTTTGGAAAAAATTTAATCATTTATTGGAAAATGAGGTGGGAAATCCAGTAAGAACATCTTGGTGACTTGCTTTTGAACTTGTCAGCGAGTCACAACAGTCACTTCGGTCAAGTAAGAACATCTTGGTGACTTGCTTTTGAACTTGTCAGCGAGTCACAACAGTCACTTCGGTCAAGTAATAACAGCTTGGTGATTTGTTTCAGTTGCAGTCAGCGAGTTACAACAGTCCCTTCAGTGAAGTAACGACAGTGAAGCCGAAAGAAACAAAGTGAATACACGGGGAAATGACCTGTGAATGGACGATAAAACCAATAACTTTTTTTTGTGACAATTTAAAGTTGCAGGAACTTTACAGACTGATTAACAAACACTGCCAGCATGTCTCCAGTTAATTTCAGATTAAAAACGTTTGAAATGAACTCAAGCCGAAAGAAATAAAGTCAATTATTTGGTTAAATGACCTGTAAAATGACAATATAGTGTGCAATAATATTTTTTAAGGCACTTTCAAATAACGGGACATATAAATATCCGTTATTGGGAATCTCGTACGTGTCTCCAGTTGATTTTAGAAAGGCAGCTTAATAACTGGATTTTAGCCGAAAGAAAATAAGTGAATGCACGGTGAAATGACTTGTACAACGTCAATATAGTCAAATACTTTTCTCTGTGATGATTTTAAGCTGCAGGAAATTTACAGATTGATAAAAAAGCACTTTCAGCATGTCTCCAATTAATTCCAGATTGAAAACTTTTGAAATGAACTCAAGCCGAAAGAAATAAAGTATGTGCTTGGTAAACTGACTAATAACACGACAGTATCCTGAGATAACATTTATTTGGGGATTTTTAAAACCATGGGACCATTTTAGATCCATTGGGGACCGGACTTTAGGAGTCTGCAGTAAATTAGAAGCCAGAATCTCAAGAAAGGAGGTGTAGCCTAAATAAATATACTCAATATTGGGTGAAGTTGCTGCTAAGATCAACAATAACGTGAAATATACATTTTGGACGCACCTTAAAACCATGAAAACCTTACAGATACGTTTTGTCAAACGTCGTACGTGTTTCCTATCAATTTGAAGTTGTAAACTCAAGAATTAAAGTCCAGCCGAAAGAAATAAACCCAAAACTTGAGAAAATGATAGGTAGAAGAAAAAATATTGAGGGCTAAAAATGTTGTGAGGCCATTTATAAAGACGGGATTATTACAGGTAAATCATGTAAAACGTTTCACGTGTCTCTAGTTCATTTGAAGTCTTCCAATTCAGAACTGAGACCCAACCAAAAGAAATATACTCAATACTTGCAGAAATGACTGGTAACATTGTAATATCGAACAACAATCTTTTTTGAACGACTTTAAAATAACGCGACTTTTACGTATCCAGACTGTCAGGCTACAAAAGTATCTCGATTGGTTTTAACATGCCAAAGAGTATCATTGTATCAATTAAATAGACATAGAATTAGCTTTGACGAAATACTTACCAATTTAATAGAATAAATTACCAATTACCAAGTGATGCAATGCCCGACATAAATTATAATTGAGATATACCTGAAATTACTTTGGAACTTTCCAGTCATTTTTTCAGGGATCTTGGTGTTGCAGCCAATCTAAATTGACTTGGTGTTACACAGGATAGGATATTTTCTATAAATACGTCCCTTTTTTTTTGAAATAAATATTCCCTCAGTTTTATCTTGACTAAAAATCTAGTTTCTTAATAATTTGTAATTGACTCCTTTGTGTTTCCCTCAACTTTCATACTTCTTGTTTATCTTAAGTTTATACTTACATATAACAATTAACTCCAAGTTCATATTTTCACACTCGACTCGAATCTCTTTATTACTATAACCGTACATAAGATATTGTTTATAATAACATAATTACTTTTCTTTTTAATCTTGGCAATTCGTTTATATTTATATTACTTACGCCCTCTTAAAATCATCGTTGATTATCTTCTTATCCTAAAAACTTTATATTATAAGATTTCTTAAGTTGACTACTTCCAGTCTGGTGCTCACTTTCATAACTACTTTATTATTAACCTCAGTGTTAATAACCTATATCCACCTTATCCTTTAAGAACTATTATCAGTGTCTTAACAGTGGGAAGAGGTGTTCAAACATTAACAAAGTAAAGATGAAGACATTAAAAACAACAATGATAGTTAAGGGACGTAATTGTTTGCCAAAAACAGTACTGTTAAACAATTGGAATAGGTTAATAATAAAAAAGAAAGAAACTATCTTCGCTACTTATTGTGTAGACTAAACGACAGTGTGGACAGTTTCAGCCATATTTAATTGTTAAGGACATAAAAAAACCGACAATATAGCCAAATAGTATTTTCTCTCACACTTTTTAAAGACTAACACAATGCGTATGGTTTTAATAACACCATTTACATCGATGCAGCGAATACGATATCAAAATACCAATCATTCGTCTCAAGTCAAAAGATATTTTGAAAAAATTATATTTAAAACAAAGGCAAAAAAATATTTTTCAAAAGTCGAATAAAATTTATAAAGATATGGGAATAAGTTTAATAGAATTCCAATTGTCTACGCTCCGTATCCGAATCGTTAAAAAAGTCTATATCATTAAACAGGTCAGATGAACACAAATCAGTGACATGACCGCAGAAATACTTGTGTCAAATGGAAAAAACTTTGGACTTCTATAGTAATAGACCTTCCTATCAATGTTTTAAAGACATATATCCAAGCCAAATACCTAATATTATGAACAGAAAACAATGCTCGACCAGATAACCAGAGTTTGGGGCAAAAATGCGAAGGTGACGTTTCATTTGTACCATAGGTTTATATAAGTCGTATGTATATTAAGTGTACCATAGAATAACCCATTTTAAAATGACGTATGACACGTTCGAATCATTGTCCATAAAGTAGTTATTAAACTGTCAGAAGATAAGTAAAATGACATAACAACATTTGATTAAACAGATGCAATTGATGGCTGAATACTTCAAATAGTTGTCATTGTTACTAGAGCAACTTTAATTTAAAAGTGGAAAAGTATCTGCAAATAATAAAAAGGTAACAAAGAAATTATAAAGTACACCAACAGTTTGCAAAACGTGGAATTATTTATCACAGCAACTAGAATATGCTGATTTTAATACTTTTGGCGTCGTAAAAGATCAACGTAAATTACGCACGAGGTAAGCAGAATTTGAATTGACACAATAACGAATGAAATACCTTATAAAATTTATCAAAAAGGGCAATATTCTAATTAAAACTTTGAAAGATGGTTTTGTACGACCGCAACTACAGGCATAGTTAAAGTAACATTTTCTACAAGACTCCTTAAAGTTTCAAAGCAAAATATCAAGATTCCGTTCCTAGCCGAAAGAACTTGGAAAAAAGGACGAATAAGACAAAAAGCGCAAAATAATTTTAAAAAGTCGAAAAAATTTTGTAAGGACATGGGAAAACTTTTATTACGTTTAAGATTATATTCTTTATGTCTACATTTTATTTAAAAAAGTCTAGCCCAAAAAATAAAATGTTTACAAATGAAATAGAGGTAATAACTGAGTAATATGAAGAGATTTATTAGGGAGTATCTCAAAATTAAATAGTAGCAACATGTTAAGAAAGCGGTAATAGTTAATATGCTGGAATGGAAGAAGATTACGTATACGCCCAATGATTTTCTGTTATTTCTTAATAACATGATCACCGATTATAAGTCTACTTGTGTAAAGATGATAAAGCATGAAAAGCGAATGAATTTGTTTAAGAGCATTTTAGCCTATTTTTAACTAAATAAGAGGACCTTATGAACATTTTGTTTAGTAGCTCGGAAGAAGGTCAACATAAAATATAAAGTATGAGAGCATATATTTAATGACTTGCTTAACAAACGAGGCGTAATACAAAGACTGTAAGTAGTATGTAGCGAATCTACGTACAAAATGTAAGGAAGATTGATTAAAAAACGAGAAAGAAATAGTCAAACTATTAAGAAAATACAACAGTCGATACGACATGACTATTTCTATGATAATAAGAAGTGAAGGACTATTGTATAACTTGAGAGAACAATGAACCTTACGTAAACTACAACCAACATCTGCAGATGTAAGTAGAAGCGGTATAGAATTAAGTACTTTGTATTATAACAAAAATGACTAAAAAGATCACCTTATCAGCAAATAACTATTGCTAAGTCATTTTGACACGAACTCAAAAGGACAGGTGGTATCAGCCGTATCTTCTAAGAACCTCCTCCAAGTTTGAAGACAAATGACAAACAATTGGTCGCAAGCCGAAAAAAATAGTGCAGGAAGGATAATTTTAAAAAAAAATTGTAAGAAGTCGAAACAAATTTATAATGACTTGGGAATTACTTTAATAAGATGAGAATACACTAAGGTACGTATGGGTATAGTTAAAAAAAAGTCTAGCCGAACAAAAAACGAAAAAAAAAGTGAAAAAATCATGAATACTATGTCTGAAGACAGTGTAAGGTAACAATGCGACCAAGACAAGTAGATATCCTAGACAACCAAATAACTAAGACAAGTAGATATCCAAGACTACCTAAAAACTACGACGATAATATATCTAGGACACCAAAATAACTAAGACAACAAAAAGGGTTGGACAGTAAAATATCTTTGACAACAAGATATATAAGACATAAAGATATCCAAGGCAACGGTTTATATATGACAACAGGATAACTTAGGCAACAGGTTAACTATGACACCAAGATATTAAAGACAGCATGGTATCGAAGACAGCGATATTACCACGACAACAGGATATCTCAGACAACAGGAAATCTAAGACACAACGTATTCAAGACAACAAGATACCTAAAAAAGCAATGTATCCAAGACAACGTAGTATCGATGACAACAAGGTTTTCAAGACAACAATGTATCTAAGAAAAGGAGGTATCTAAGACAACATAACTTCCAAGACGACGTGACTGGGACAACAACGTAACTAATACAACGGAATATCTAAGACAACCTGATTGCTAAGACAATAATATATCGTAGATAAACGGAGAGCAAATACAACAAGATATATAATACTACTAGATATCTATAACAACCACATATCTATGACAGCAAGAGATAACGACAACAAGATATTCTAGCGATCAATATCCCTAAGGCAACAAGATATCCTAGCGATCAATATCCCTAAGGCAACAAGATATCCTAGCGATCAATATCCCTAAGGCAACAAGATATCCTAGCGATCAATACCCCCAAGGCAACAAGATATCCAAGGAAACAACATTCGTAAGGTAACGATATACCTGGCAATCACATATATTAATACGACAATAAGATGCTTTAGACAGTTAGATATCTATGACAACTAGATTTCTATGATAACTAGATATCTAGGACAACCAGAGTAGTAGGACAAAAGATATCGATGACAACCAGAAGACTACAGACTACAGGATACTAAGAATATTAACGATCACCATGACTATTAATGATCACTACGAACACACAATTATTTAGTAACCCCCGATGAAATCTGGAATGAAAAAAACGCTTGGCTATCCTACGTGGAAAAATGAGCTCGTTTCAACGGTACTATTTTCGATCCATTGAAATGAAAACTCATTGACTTATTTGGGTTTCAAAGTCATCAGCTATATACACTACATTATTTCTCAGCCTACGCCTACCAAAGCCAATCCAATTGCCCAAGACAACGGTGTTGCCCAAGACAACGGTGTTGCCCATGACAACGGTGTTGCCCATGACAACGGTGTTGCCAATGACAACGGTGTTGCCAATGACAACGGTGTTGCCAATGACAACGGTGTTCCCCATGACAACGGTATAAAAAACAAAAGGTTAGGGTTAGGGTTAGGGTTAGGGTTAGGGTTAGGGTTAGGGTTAGGGTTAGGGTTAGGGTTAGGGTTAGGGTTAGGGTTAGGGTTAGGGTTAGGGTTAGGGTAGGGGTTAGGTTAGGGTTAGGGTTAGGGTTAG